AAAGAAAAATGTTTTAAAAACCATGGCTTGTTAGTTTATGGAAATCCTTGGCTTGTCCTGTCCATGGAATCCATAGCTTGTCTAGTCATGGAACCTCATGGCTTGTCCAGTCATGGGGCCCGCAGCTTGAGTAGTTCGTGGGGTCATATGAACGATTTCATAATGTTAAATGGATGATTTCTTAAGATAAGAGGTCTTGTGAACTGGTAATAGAGTCTATTGCTGTAAGCCTAGATAGGATGCGGAGAGTGTATCCTCGGGGGCAGAACCCGAAACCGGTCCGGGTAGGCGAGGCACTTGGTTAGGTAAGTAATTTGTACTAATTACTTGCTGAAGCCTGTAATATGGTTATTTTCAGTTATATTTCCTTTGAGAAAAAGGATGTGAGGTTCCGGCTGTTCTGTCGGGACTGAATGTCTTATTTTATTTATGTATTCAATTATTTATTCATGCGCTCATTTATTTTAAATATTTCAAATTATATCCTACTGGGCCTTTCGCTCACGTTTTATGTTTTAAATGTTAAACCCCTCCCAGGATACTTGAGGAGCGGTGCAGGGTAGCTGGAGTTGCTACTATTGGATCAAGTGAGGATTGAGTTTATCTTCTTGAACAAATGTAAGGAATTTGAGAAATTATGTAAACCTATTTAATATTGGATTTACTAGACTGTGGTTGATGTCTGTTGTAATGATTAATTTACATGGGCATGTATGTACGATACTGTATGTCCTGTGGGGTGGAGCCATGTGTGTCAGAGGCTCCGGGATTCTGTAATTCATTTATATTTTAATGCAGTTAAGTGTGGGGCCCGGTCTGGGAATCTGCTTTATTAATCCCTAATCGAGCTCCACGTCACCCACCCCGTTTGGGGGGCGTGACAGGAGTGGTATCAGAGCATTAGGTTAAGAACCCCAGGATTGTACATACATGTGTGACATCTGTAATCCACTAAATAGTCTAGTTTTATTTCAGTTGAAGGAAATGGCGCCTCGCCGTAGGCCTAC